CTGCGGAGACGTCGTGAATACCAATCACCAGCGGTGATTATGAGTGCCCTCGTGTTCTGCCTGCAAGGAGATATCTGGAGCTGTTTTGCAGCTGCAGGTTTGAAAAGTGGATGAGTAAAGGGGGGTAGGAACGAAGGCTTCGTACTACACTGAAATCTGCCACTTCTTGTTACCGGCGGGGCTCTATGGAGGACACCTGTGCAGACCGAGTGAAATAAAAAAGCATCCACGAAAACCATGTTATTGACTTCTATTTGCTAAGCAGGAAACCAGTTGTTTTTACTCTGAGTTTTTCAATTATTTCTAATAATGGTCCCTTGACTTCTTGCTTTCACAATAAGGAAAAAAACACTGACAGATTTCAGCAGGCATTAAAGTATCCTTTCCCTATTGAAGCACCTTTCCCTAGCTTCCCTACTTCAATGCCTCCTCAAATCCATCAGCATTTTTTGTCCCTTATTGTGAAAACTAAGAAGTCAAGGGACCGTTATTAGAAATAATTGAAAAAAATCAGAGTAAAAAATGGTTAACTCCCCCCTCCCTCCCCCAGGTATCAAGTTTAGAAAAACTTTAAAAAACTTGTAAAGTATTTGGAAATGGATTGGGAAATACTGAGATGCTGGTAGGAGTTAACTAGCTTTATTACAGCGAGGAACAGAGAGCCCTGTTTATGCCCACACTCCCCCATTTCTCAACAGACAGCTATTTGATGGGCTACGGCTACCTCATTAGCCTTCAATCTGGAAAGAAATATGAGCAAAATCAGTGATAAAAGCTCCTTCTCAAGTGCAGGCTGAGGGCTAGCCAAGATCACATTTCAATCTAAACTGTGGCTGAACCTTGTTGCTAATCGGTTTGCCGTTCGCTCGCTCGGAGGTGGTGCTGCAGGGAGACAAATGGCTACAACTTAATACAGCGCAAGAGTTTTCCCCGTTGCCTCTTCTTCTGCACGCGCTCTATGTTTGCACTTGGAGCAAGCCCCAATCCAACTCTAGTGCCCACAAAATCAGCTTGAGAAAGACTGGCTCTTTGTCCAGTTAGTGCCATCAGACAGCTGTTTCCTCTCTCACTAGCTGCCTTCTCAACAACCCCCTTCATTAATTATGAGGCAAAGCAGCATTCATGGCTGTGCAAGCAAAGTCAGCCCACCTAAGCGAACCCTGAGAGCTTGATGGTGGGATCATTTTGCATCTTTTAAATTAGACAAGAAACGATCACCAGGTTTTATTTTCTACCCGTGTGTCTTGAATAGCTGCAGTTCACTGAGGTAGCAGGATGCTTGCTTTTATCATTAATTAGACTGCCGAAAGGGTCTGTCGACTGCACTGCTTAACGACTTAATAATAGCTTTCGAACTTCTGAATTCAGGAGGAGGTGGGGGTAGGTATCAATAATGTAATTCTTCCCACCTCCACCTATCGCTTGCTCAGGTACAAAGCTACCAGAGAGGAGCTAATACGTTCTTTCAAATGCAGATAAATCTGATTATGGCTAATAGGACTTATGCTCTTCTACTACGAGAAGGTTAGACAGACACTGTCCTGAGATTAAACCAGTGTCAGATCTGGATGAGAGAATATAAATAAGGATCGCTATCCAAAGATGGGCAGCTCCGGGTGAAAAGCATCAACAGAGCCAGGTTTAAAGGTGCCATCCAAGAGTATCTGTGTCCCGAGTACATGGTAAAGGGTCTATGTGGCAGCATAGGGGGGTGGGGGAGCACATATGTTTTTATCAGCCTGATTTTAATTCTTAATTGAGGTTGACATTTCCCACTAGCTCAAGCGCGTTTGTGTAAATGAGAAGTGCGCTGGGATCTTTGCAGCTGAACCTGAAATACCACCCAGATAGTGAGGGATAGGTTATATCAATAGCTAGAGGATGGCTAGGCAATGCTTGAAAAGCCAGGAGGAAGCAAAGTGATGGTTTGGAAAGTGGAATCTCATGTGTCCCACCAATTACACTGATACAAAGCAGCTGCGGAGGATGCTCAGCAAAACAGGCTTTTACCAGGAGGCTGAAAGTGTGCTCAGAACTGTGAAAAGCATCTGCATCTTGCTGCTGAAGCTGAAAAAGCAATATTTCAGCTCAAAACTTGCACAGGCTTGGTCTGCTTGCTAGCAAAGCATTGTCATGGGAGAGCTGGTACCGCAGGACCTGTTCTGTATAGAGACCTTTCAGGTGATGACTCCAAAGAAGCAAGGACATGCTTTATTAGGCAGTTCTCTGACAATCCATTTGTCTGCTGTCCACCTAATGAAGTTACAGGAGACAGTATTTCATTCTCTTTATTCCACTGAGAAAAGGTATCAGTATGAAAAATGACAGGGCGAATAAAAAAACCAAAACCCGCCACAACCGTCAGTCCAGTTCTTTCAAGGAACTGACATAAAATACAGAGAAGGACAGAGACAATTTTCCCTTTGGACAAAAAGAACTGAATTTGATGCACTTCAGAAGAGTCTAGGGCTAATGGAAAATGAAGAGAGTTTGGTTTAACTCCAAGCAACACGTGATTGTCGTGGAAGACATTAAGGTCCATATTTTTAAAGGTGCCTGTGCCTTTGCACAGATAGTCATTGCAATGATGTCACTATTCCCTAATTACATATCAAAAGGACTTGATAGCTTGTCTTTGCACATATCTCTATTCTGAGTACATACACACACAATTGTGATTACACATACACATATGCTGGGCAAAAGTATGCATGAATTGTATATACATGTGCAATTATGCCTGCAGTCTAGGAAACCTGTGACTGAAATGCTCAGGCATGCTAGCAGAAATCTTCAACGGATTTGGAGGTGACATCTGGACAAATACTGGACCTTTAAGCAACTTTTTGGCTGCTGTGCAAAACTGAGTAAAATTTCGTATTTTCACCATTCTTATGGTACTCTAGAATACCTAGCAAGGAAGAAAGAAATGGAGTCTCACTCTGATTATGGGTGTGCAGGCCAGGACCCCTATGTCAGAGTCCAACACCCCTATTAAAGACAGCAAGGAAGGCAGCCCCCTCCTTCTCCATAATGCACTGATGCAGCCATGCACCTTGACCCTACGGGGTCTGCCGAAATTGGAGAACTGCTGAATACTGGAGAAATGATCTTTCCTGACTCCTCAGGCTATCCATTTGCAAGGTGACATACTTGATATAATTACCCTCATCCTAAAAAGATAAAACCACAAATGGAAGTGCTAGTCATTTTATTGGGCAATAAAACTGTTTGGTGCTTGGTCACAAGGTGGGGTGCAAAGTTTAACTCGAAGGAAAATCAGCGCTGTACTGTGTCTAGCACAGTGGGGCTCTGGTTCACGACTTGCCCTCCCAGGGGCGACTGCAGTATAAATATATAATTGTTCCTCTCTGTTTTCCTGTTCTCCTCTCTCATCCTGCAGCTCCTCACAAAACCGGGTCTGTGCACCAAACTGCATAAAGCACTCTCTGCCATTAAGGTATTTAACAGGTTCCTCATTGCTCATATTTTCATTCCTCGAGGCATTTATTAAAGTTGTTAAAGCAGAAGCACTCAGGGTGCTTTTCTCCTTTCCCTCCCCAGCTGAGTTATCACCTGTCTGAACTCTACAGGGCTGTCATTACTAGCTGCCAAGTTAACAAACTCCATTCCTTCTAGCTCACTGCCCTTTCTGCGTTTTGTCATTATAAATTAGCTGGCTGCTGACACAGATATCTCCGCAAGGCTGCCCTGTCAGAAATAAAAGCAAGAAGCGCTCAGGTGGTCAGAAATACTACATGGCCTCCCTCCTTTTCTCTTTCAGGTGCTCATAAAAAAGGGTGGATGTTGGATGCCATACAAAGGTAAGGCTCTCTTCCCTCCCTCCAAACAGGGAGACTAGGACATGGCTGTATGCCCTGCAAAACCTCAGGCAGGGACGGACACTGCAGTGCCCTTGCCGTGTTCGGGAGGCAGTTCATCAAGGGCTGTCCCAGGCCTGAGAGCAATCCTGAAAACAGCTCTTCCTGATCCAAATCTTGCTGTCGTCAACAGGAGTCTATCCAGAGTCTTTAGATCAGGGCTATAAAGATGCAAAAAGATATGGCTGCCTACTTGTGAGCCAGAGGCCGGTCTGCATGAGCAGCTTTGCTGTTTTGCAAAATAAAGAGGGTATATGTATAGACGGGGGAGCGGAGGTGGGAAGTGCCCTGCCTCGAAGAAGCAGTGTCAGGCATGTTGTCACATGTAAGAACATGCTGGATCTTCAGGCATCTTCCCTGAGGACATGGATAGCCGTTTATCTAAAGGGGTAGGACGGGGAGGATGTTTTGTCCAAGGTGTCTACAGGCCTAGACCTATTCCTGCCTCTAAACTGAGCTCAGCTGGACTAAGCATGGGACAACAAAAGAGAGATCACCGAGGAAGCTGCCGCAAGTGCTTTAACCCACAATCTGGCCACGATTCCTACCAACAAGTCATTCAGGACATAGGTAGTGATATCCCCATCTCAGACTCTTCATTTTGGCCAACGATCAGTGGAAGTCCCTTATGCATTGCCTCCCTGAGCACATATACGTCCTTTTAAGGTGTTTTTAAGTAGGGCCAGGGGCAACCTCATTAGCTCACAGACTCCCTTAATTACCCCTGGACCTTCATTAAGAATTGATCTCAAATGCCCAGAGGCAACTTCCCATTAGGGAATATACGTTCCTTATATATCACACAGAGATCACTTTCTGTTTTTCTTCTTGAAACACCTTCTGCTTCCACGGAGAGGGCCCCTGACAATCAACCTGCCACTAACACCTATGCTAAGGGCTGCCTGCTCTTCAGAAAGCTTGCAACATGCCTCCATATAGCCCCCACAGTAGCCACCAAACATCAGTGTTTAGCTGATGCAGAAAGTAGCTTGCTTTCCTCTTTAATCTCAAAGACATCAGGCAGTATTTCTTCTTTGCAGTCCCTCTTCCCCTTCCCCTGCCCTGCTCCTTCCATCTCCTTTGATGGAAACATTGCTGTCTGATCACAGCCCTACTTACCTTGGAAAGTCCTCCCACTTCCAAGTAGAAGCAGATGATGAAGATATTCCAGGTGACCCAAACGGCAGTCCAGATGGCGTACTAAGAAGGGGGATGTCAAGGGAGAGAGATTGGACTACGGTTAGGGAGCTGCCTGAAACATCACTTAAGAGATGCAAGTACAGCAGGAGAGAGTTAAATGCTTCACACCATCACCATGCTCCCTTTCTGTTCCTTGGGCATTTGTCTGGATTTTAATGCACCTACAGTTCTCTCGTGATTGTGGCGCTCCGATCCAGCTTCCCAAAGCAGGGCTCGTGGGTGCTGTCGGCTCTGCTCTGCGGGGTGGTTCGCTGAAGGGTGAGGACCAGGCCTGTGTCCATCAGCAGAGGGTCACTCAGCACCACCAGAAACCCCTGCACACTTTTGCAACTGCTTGTGCAACAGCTGACTGATTCAGTCAAAGGACAGCAGGGCGTCCTCCCACGCCAGCAGTGTTTGCAGGAGCGGGGAGCTTGGTGTTCAGATAGTGAGGCCACGGCTGGGTTGCATCCCAGTCTTGAGCAGCTCTAATGATTAGAGATAACACACTGATGGGAGGCACATCTGTTCATTCCCAGCTTGAAAGACAGGGGCTTCTGTTTAGGAGCTGAATGCTTGAGACGCAAGGTCCTTGAGGACAGAGCAAGGAGGAAAAATGGCTCCTTGCGGCTCCCTTTGACCTCTGGATAGCCCATTTCAAAACACCATCAGGAGACAAATGAGCTCTGAAATTCAAAAGCAGGTTGGACAGACACTTGCTTGGGATGGTTTAGTTAGGGATGATGCTGCCTTGAGCAGAGAGCTGGACTAGACAACCTCGAGAGGTCCCTTCCAGCTCTACTTCCCTATGATTCCTAAATTCTGGAAAAAAAGGGGGTTGGAGCTTTATTTCCAAAGCCTGTAACCTGCTCCTTAGTAGAGCACTATGGAGAGGTGAATGGCGTGTGTGTGCATGTGAATGTGTGTATACACACACACGTTTCATAGCATACACGGTAAATAATCAAATGGAGGCCATTTCCCTGGAGAGCAGCATTTAGCAATATGGGGCTGGATGCTCGGAGGAATTAGAGCAGCACAACCAACCACTCCAGAGGGATGGGAAGAGCTAGTCTCAGGTGTGTGAAACAGAAATGTTGGTTAATGAACCCCCGGTACCTGTCCTAATGACTTCTGCTGGAAAAGCCCTGCTGTATAGGCTTCCTCCCTGCTCTGACTCAGGGGAAGGCCTTCAGCTAACATTTCTGAAATACATAGCTGGGCCATGACACTTTTTTTCCCCCATGTGCTGAGAAGTTTGTTATTTGATTTGGTTTTGTTTGCATGAAGGCTGAATGCTGTAAAAATCCTGAAAAATGGAATAAGTAGCACTGCCATAGACAAGTTTTGAATCCCCCCAAAATATTGCCTGTGACACTCTGAATATCACAACCTGTGGGCGTTTCTATTCCGGTGCTTAATTGTCTTCCACCCACACCAACATGTAGTATTCCTGGCATGCATTAGTGCTGGAGGGCCTGAGTATAATGCCAGTAAGTTGTCAGACAGTGCCAGAGTTACACCCTGATTTCCACACCACCAGCTGCCATAGATTAAGGTGGTGGGAAGCCCTCTCCTGCCAAAAAACCTGACAGTTGGCAGAAGTTTATTATTTAAGCAATAGTCCCTGTCACTGAGAATTTTATCTGCTTAATAATTGGCAGCAAAAAGCCTGAGCTGAAGGGAAATGTGAATCAGATAGAGCAGAGGTCAATTTTAAGGCACTAGAGCTTGCAGTCAGGGATGCTGGCTGGCAGGACCAGATTTTAAGTATTTGAAAACATTTCTGAACGTCTGCTTGCAAAAATAAATTTAAAAAGTGAATTTCAGTTGCAAATGAATTATAATTAACAGTGAACAGAGAGAGAAAATGTAATGGAAAACTGAATCATGGATGTTTCAGG